ATATATATATATATATATTTTAATTAAATAATATAAAAATTTTAATTTAAATAAAAAATAGTTATGTATTTTGTTTATATTATTTGTATAAGTTAAATATTAGAAGATGAAAAATAATATTTTAATAAGATAAATAAAAATCATTAACAATATTATTATGTTTATAAAACTTATATTTTTAAGTAATTTTTTATAAGTTAGAAGATGAAAAATTATATTTTTATGTAAATTTTAATAAGTTAGAAGATGAAAAATATTATTGTTATAAGTTAAGTAAAAATGAAAATAATTTTATGTTTATATAATTGAGTTTTTTTAATAGAATTGATAAAAATTAACCGAAAACCCTAACTAACATACCACTTTGGGGACGATATTTTATGTAAAAAAATTTGAATTTTTTTATTGAAATCAAGTTATTTCAATAGTTCTCATATCAATGAATTCAACGGTACAACTTTCACAAGTCAAAAAAATATATAATTCATCCAAAAACTTAGTCAAGAATTGAAAAAAGTTAACCCGTAAACCCTAACTAACGTACCAGTTCGGTGACAATATTTTATGTAACTTTTTTTAAATTTTTTTCCAAAACCCGAGTTATTTCAATAGTTCTCATATCAATGAATTCAAGGGTACAACTTTCACAAGTCAAAAAAATATGTAAGTCATCCAAAAACTTAGTAAAAAATTGAAAAAACTTGGTCAAAAAATATGTAAGTCATCCAAAAATTATGTGGGACCCACGCCTCAGGTGCACGTTACGCAAGCAGAGCATTGATTCCTTGTGGGTTCCATGTCTGAAACTAACTGGGACATGTCAGTCACGCCTTTTGAGGGCATTGATTCTCTATGGGACCTACATTTCAGGTGCACGTTATGCGAGTAGAGCATTGATTTGCTGTGGGGCCCACTTTAAGATCGACTGGGACATGTCAGTAACGCCTTCTAAGGGCATTGATTCCCTGTGGGACCCACATCTCAGGTGCATGTTATGCAAGCAGAGCATTGATTCCTTGTGGAGCCCACCTCTGAGATCGACTAAGACATGTCGGTCACGCCTTTTAAAGGCATTGATTCCCTATGGGACCCACCTATGCATGCATTGGATTCCTTCTCATATGCAAGTGTCTCTTCGACTCAATCATCCCACCTCTATAAATAACCATGCTAACTATCAGAGTGACTATCATTCTCAATTCCATTCTTCTTTGGTTCATTTCAAACTTCCATTCTCAGTTACATCCTTCTTTGTTTCGTTTCTCACTTATCAAATTCCAAAAATGTTGTTGTGGAAGCAAAATAAACACAGGTCTGCCTTCATTGGTAGAACGGTAAGTTGAACATCATCGTTATTTGCTTAAAATTTCAATCAACCTCTTACACATAATGTGCCTAATTTTGTTAATCATTGCAGGAGACTGAAAATATAATTTCCTCTTACTCTCATTCAATGTCAGAACCCCACCCTCTAATTGTTCCTATACTAGAGGAAGTTGGTTTTTCTGGGGTTGCAAACCTTAGGCATCTCAAGGTGGATCACACATTGGTGATAGCTTTGGTCAAAAAATGGAGACCTGAGACTCACACCTTCCATTTTCCAACAAAGGAATCACTAGTGGAAAAAACACTTTTAAAATCGGTCATTTTTTACTTTTAAAATCGGTTCTCTTACCCATTTTAAAAGAGCCGATTTTAAAAAGTTGTACTTTTAACATCGGTCATTGCCCGATGTTAAAAGTATAACTCTTAACATCTATACTTTTAACATCGGTCATGCATAAACCGATTTTAAAAGTTAGACTTCTAAACTGGAACAGGTCATTCCAGGTTTCTCAAAAGGCCTAAAACTGTAGTCTGGAACAGGTCGTTCTACAATTAGAATGGGCCATTCTGGTTGAAGAACGGCCCGTTCTGGTTGTAGAACGGTCCGTTCTGGTTGTAGGATGGCTCGTTCCAGATTCAAAATTTACTAGAATACAGCAACAGCAAAACTAGAGACATGGGAAGAGAATGAGAATGTTACCTTGATATAGTAGTCTTGCAAATAAAATGAGAAGTTTGAGACTTTAGATGAGAGCGCGAGAGAGTAAAAGAAAGGAATGGAGGGAAAGAGAGAAAGTATAGGCGTTGAAATTTTTAAAATCGGTTATTTAAGAATCGATTTTGTATACTACATACAAAATCAGTTCTTAATTAGCCAATTTTAAAAGTAGCACTTTTAAAATCGGTTCTGAAATAACTGATTTTAAAAGTAGTATCAAATACCTTTTAAAATCGGTTAAAAGATAGCTAATTTAAAAAGTAATGTCATTATTTACAAAATTGTCACTACGTCACTTTTAAAATCGGCTACTTTTTAACCGATTTTAAAAGTGATTTTGTACTAGTGAGTGCACCATAACACTGAAGGATGTTACACTTCAACTCGACCTAAGAGTTGATGAATTACCAGTCATTGGTCCAACATTATATGACTAGGAGGATATATATTCCATATATCTCGACATCGTGTCAATTAAAGGAGAGTCACTAATTGGCTCTATGGTAAGATAAAGTGGTTGAGAGACAATATGTTGGAATTACCAGAGGAACCATCTCAAGAAGAACTTCATGCACATTATAGGGCATATATATTAGGTTTAATAGGAAGTGTTTTGATGCTTGAAAAAATAGGCAATAAGGTACATCTTATGTATTTATCTTTATTAATAAATCTTAGAAGAACAGGACGATATAGTTGGGGGTCTGCTTGTTTACCTATGTTTATATAGGGAAATTTGTAAAGCCACAAATGTTACGAGTTGAATAATGGGTGGTTGTGCATCATTATTACAGTCTTGAGCATGGCATCGCATGTCATATATTGCACCAATTTCTAGAATACCACCAACATTCCCTTTGGTCTACAAATGGAGCAAGGGTAGAGTACTAAACTTTCAAAATGTACCTCATAATGATATTTTCAGATACAAATCAATGTTTGATCACATTCAGGCTGATGAGGTAAATCTTCGTAACAAAGTTTTATTTGTTTCTTATTATTTTTTTTTTGTTTAGCATATTATCTTAAGTAACAAAGTTTAATTTATTTATAGTTTTTATGGGCTCCATATCAAGGCTTGCAAGCATCAATACCCATGCAAGCATATAAAGATGCCCAACTGTGGACTTCATGTACTCTCATCATTTGTTTTGCAATTGTTAAATGACACTGATCGGATAGAGTGAAATTACAATTTTGTCTCTTCCAGGATGTCCTTTCTCCACCCAATAATTTGGATAACCTATACAAGATTGACATGAGGGGAAGACAAGATGAAAATTGGGTTACACGACATGCTCAATGGATCGACATGTGGAACAATAAACGTGAGCACACATTAATGGGTCATCCAACACAAAGCCTATTATTTCACACAAAAGAATACATGGAATGGTACTTGGCCAATTTCATCTATTTCCTATCTGTGCCACGACTACTACAAGATCCAAGGACCTATCAACAACGAAGGACTTCCACAACATTTGAAACTAGTGCAACTTCCATGCCGTCATATGAAGAGACTCATCCGCATATATCAAATTCTCCACACAACATCACGCCACAAGAAAACATAATTGATAGAAGTAGAGCTGTCAAAATGGGCTTGGCCCGGTGAGCCAACCCGGCTCACCACGGGTCCGAGCCAGGTTGGGTTGAAAAAAAATTAAAATTTTCAATACGGGTCAAATTGAACCCGACTCACTAACAACCCGACTCACCCGGGTTGAACCCGTGGTGAGCTGGGCTGGCCCACCAACCCGTGATTAAAATTTTTTTTTGAAAAAATACAATAATTATTGGGCCATGGTGCAGTCCAACATGAGACAATAATAATTTAATGTTGGATTGTGATTTGTAATATTTTTATGATTTTGTATTGTATTTGAAGTTTAAGATGATTTTGGATTATATTTGAAGTTTAAGATGATTTTGGATTATATTTATCTATTTGAGATTATATTAGATTTGATTTGATTGTATTTAAAATTATCATTTAATGTTTGAGATGAATGATTCATTTATGGATGTCTTAATTAAGAATCTCATATTTTTAAAATAAGTTTAAATTTGTGGGTTTTAGTTGTATATTAAGAAGAAAAAAATGAAAAAAAATTATTTTTTTTAAGGTGAGCCAACCCGTTTAACCCACCAACCCGTGGTGAGTCGGGCCGGGTTCGATTTTTTTTAACTCACTGATAAATGAGCCGAGAAGGGTTGGCCCACCAAATGGCCAACCCGTGGTGGGCCGGGCCGGGCCAGGCTGGGTAGCCCATTTTGACAGCTCTAGATAGAAGACAATCGTTTGCAACAACTTCAGAGGATTTTCTTACAAATTTATTTAGAGTAGATTTTAGAACTCCATCTTCAACAAGTCATACATGCAATCTCTTTACCAACCAGATTTTGCTAATGAACCTGGTAGTTCTTCAGCTGCATTCCAACAACCAGTCCTTGATGATGATCCAAATCTTGTTTAGCAACATCCTCTATGGCGTAACCCAGGCCACAACAACAGATATCGCCTTCGTTGTGGAACTGGACACCATTATTAAGATTAAAAATCTTATATAATTCAATCT